TAAAGAAATTAAAATTCGAAATTTTTCACCAAACACATGTAAATTATCCAAATTTTACTTATATAATTTTGATGACAATCTGTAATGTATAGAGAACTTGAATGCGCATGACTGCAAACAGGTTTGGGTGACTACGAGTATTAGAAGAATGAGTCGTTACAAAAGCGTCAAGAACCAAGATGGTAAAAAGACATGAAATTAAGTGAGAATAAAGTTTAGTTTATTACAAATCGAAGTGTTTATTATAAACCATTACACAATCATAATTCGGTAGATAGAGTAAGTAAATTGTTAAATAAAATTGATGTAAAAGATTTAAACAGCGAAGAAAGAAATTCGGTTCACAAAATTTGCGCGAAATATGCTGATGTGTTTCTTTTAGAAGGAGATTCGTTAACAGTGACGAATATTGTTTCAGAAAGCATTCGATTAAAGAAAGATGCAAAACCTGTTTATATTAAACCCTATAGATTACCTCATTCACAGAAAACTGAGATCGATAAGCAAATTCAAACATTATTGCAAAACGGTATTATTGAGGAAACCAAATCAACTTGGTCTTCTCCTCTTTTAATTGTTCCAAAAAAGACGGACAATTTTGGTAATAAAAGTTGGAGAGTAGTGATTGACTACCGACAGTTAAATTCAAATATCGAAGACGATCGATTCCCGTTACCAAATGTGACAGAGATTTTAGATTCCTTATCGGGAGCGGTTTATTTTTCACACTTAGATTTATCTCAAGGGTACTACCAGGTTAAATTAGATGAAGACAGCAGGAAGTACACAGCTTTTACTACTAGTAAGGGTCAATATCAAATGACTAGGTTACCCATGGGGTTAAAAACTAGTCCAAATTCCTTTTCAAGGGTTATGACTATAGCTATGTCCGGATTAAATTATGAATCGTGTTTTGTTTATTTAGATGATCTCATAGTATTTGGTAATAACTTAAGCAATCACAATCAAAATTTAACAAAAGTTCTTAATAGACTTAGAAAGGTTAATTTAAAATTGAACCCCGGAAAGTGCAAATTTTTGAAAAAACAAGTTTTATATTTAGGGCATGTAATTTCGTCTGAAGGGATTCTTCCGGATCCAAGCAAAATTACTGTTGTTAGAGATTATCCTGTTCCAAAAGATTCAAACGAATGTAAAAGATTTATTGCTTTCGCAAATTACTACCGAAAATTTATTCCAAATTTTGCAAAAATTGCTTATCCTTTAAATAAACTAACGCGTAAAATGGTAGAATTTAATTGGGACGAACAATGTCAAGAATCTTTTGAAACCTTAAAAAACGCTTTGGTTAGCCCACCTATTTTGCAATATCCTGATTTTAATCCGTCAAACGAATTTACATTAACAACAGATGCATCTGGTTATGCGATTGGTGCAGTACTATCAAATGCAGATAATAAACCAGTAGCATACGCCAGTAGAGCATTAAACAAATCAGAGACCAATTATGCAACAATAGAAAAAGAGCTTTTAGCTATTGTTTGGGCTGTAAAACACTTTCGACCATATTTATATGGGAAAAAATTTAAAGTTTATACTGACCATAGACCCTTGACATATCTTTTTGGAATGAATAACCCGTCTTCTCGGTTGATAAAGTTTAGACTCGTATTAGAGGAATTCGATTTCTCAGTACATTACGTTAAAGGTAAAGACAATTCAACAGCTGATGCTTTATCAAGAATTGTTGTTAATTCCAATGATTTTAAAACCATGTCGGAGAATATTTTTGTACTTACAAGATCGAAACAAAAACTAAAACAAAATTCTGAAATGGATGAAGGTGTAAATGACGAAACTGATGAAGGGACTGGCCACCTCGGAATCGTTGAGTTATTGAAACCTCCACCAAATTCAATAGAATTACGGCAATGTAACAATAAACGCTTAATGGAAGAAGAGAAAGTAATTTATGATAAAAAACTGAAGATAATTTTTATTAAATCGAGTTCTCGATCAATTCTTGCCTTCGAAGCGGTGTTGAGAGACTTGAGTCACACGTGTGAAATAAATAATATTGCGCAAATATTTATATTAAAATCTCGAGATAATGATAAATTAATTAAGCGATTGTCGAAAAGTGTTACTTTACTAAACGAATTAAAATTACAAATAAACGTAATCAGTAAAGCATGTTATATCGATTGTAAGCAAACACGTCAATTGATATTGAATGATTTTCATATTCTTCCGACTGGGGGACATGCGGGTATAAATCGTATGTATGCTAACATTAAACGGTATTATTTATGGGAAAATCTAAAAGTTGATATAACAAAATTCGTAAAAAGGTGCGAAGAATGCCAACGTTATAAACATTCGATACCTCATAAAGAACCGGTAACAATAACAACAACAGCTTCATCTGCGTTTGAAAAAGTTTATTTAGATTTGGTAGGTCCGTTAAATCAGGATGATGATGATAATCGGTATATATTAACCATTCAATGCGAACTCACAAAATTCGTAGAAGGATATCCTCTTAAAAACAAAGAATCCGAAACTGTGGCGAGATCATTCGTAAACAACTTTATATTAAGATACGGGATCCCAAATGAGATTGCTACAGATAAGGGAACTGAGTTTTTAAGTCAGGTGTTCAAAGAAACAGCAAAATTGTTAGGTATTAAACAATTAAATTCAACCGCTTATCACCACCAATCCCTGGGTGCCATAGAAAATAGTCATAAGCATTTAGGATCTTATTTAAGAATTCAAACATCAAATTTTTCAGACACATGGAGCTCGTGGGTACCGTTTTGGTGTTTTTCGTATAATAACAGTGTACATACCGAGACAAAATACACTCCTTACGAATTAACTTTTGGAAAAAAGAGTAAATTGCCAAGTAATATCTTAAATAATAATAATCAACCAATTTATAATTTTGATAATTATTGCAATGAATTAAAATTTAGACTCAAATCAGCTTGGAATAATGCAAAAGATCAGTTAATTGAATCGAAAATAAAAAGAAAAAGTAGGTTAGATAGGAAATCTGATATTGTTAGTTATAAATTTAATGATAAAGTACTATTAAAAAATGAGTCAACAAATAAATTAGACGAACTGTTCAAAGGTCCGTTTAAAGTAATTAAAGAAGACACTCCAAATGTAACACTGAAAATAAACAATAAATTAGTTACAGTGCATAAAAATCGAGTGAAAAGATATTTAAAGTAAAGACAAATAAAAATAAAAATTAAGTGATTTAAGTGAAAATTTATATTTAATTTTAAGTGCAATAGTTATTAAGGAGATAATAAAGAAAAACGGATTAAAGATAAACTAATAGGATCAAAATTTTTTCAAAAAAAAAAAAAAAGGATGAAGATGTAATGGAATACAAGACAGGAAATGATTGCGGAATTTATGTAATATCGATGCGTGCAATTCGGAGGTGCATTGCACCTACGAATTGAGGACATTCAATAAAAATGTTGAACTTGCAAATTAGTTTATGTTTAATTCGAATAATATTAAGTTTTAAAATTTTAGTCTAGTATATGTAATCGTAGAGTAAGAATGAATAAATAGAACGTTATAATTTAAACAATCTTTCAATTCCATCACCATCTAATATTCAACTTATTGAGATAACCATCAACGGTTATCACAGCCTTTTGGATAGTACAACTCCTATTTGCAGACAGTTATTAGTCTTTTGAAGCAGTATTTCGCCTTTCCAAGTAGATAGTAGTCTTTCCAGCAGTATTTAGCATTCTGGGGGCAATAAATAGCCTTTGAGAAACAGTATCTCCGTCTTCCAAACAGTCAGTAGTCTTTTATCAGCAGTATCTAGCATTGTGGAAGCAGTAGATAAGTTTTGGAAACAATACCTCTCTTTAGAAGCAGTTTTTAATACATTGCCAGCAGTATCTAGCCTTCTGAAAGCAGTGTCTAACGTTCTGGAAGCAGTAGGTAATTAAGTAGGCACTAGAATTTTGTGTTCCATCAAATGACTAACGTCAAAACTGACATTTGTGCGTTGTCAAAAAATTTTAATGCATTAACATGACGTTTAAATAAGCGATACTTATTTTGGGACTTAAATTTATATCAAAACGGATACTTATTATGGTACAGAGGGATAATTAAATTATAACCAAACATATCTTTTAATAACCAAAGAATGATTCTAGTTCTAGGTCTTGTGTTAGTTCTAGTGATAGTGCTAAGGTAAAACTAGAACCAACACAAGACCTAGAACGAGAATCATTCGGGTTTAGCCGTCTTTAGAGATGTTCGGCTAAATCCGAATGATTCTAGTTCTAGGTATAGTGTTAGTTCTAGTTGTGCACTAGCATTATCACTAGAACTAACATTAGACCTAGAACTAGAAACATTCGGGTTTAGCCGCACGTCTCTTAGTACGGCTAAACCTGAATGTTTCTAGTTTTAGGTCTGGTGTTAGTTCTAGTTTTACACTAGCATTATTGCTATGTAGAACTAACACTATACCTAGAACTAGAAAGTGTTGGGTTTAGCAATGCGTCTTCAGGCGCATTATATAGTGTGTTAATTAATTATCGTACTGGGCGTCATTGTTGCAAGTATGCAACCAATATCACAGTATTTAATACACAATACGCGATTTGCGTATTCAGATATATTCAGTGTGATATTGGTTGCATACTTGCAATGATGACGTCGGGTACGATCATTAATTAACACAGTGTATATCCGAAGTCCGTTCTAACGAGGTCCGTTATATCGAGTTTATACTGTATTAATATAACATGGAATTTTTGAAACGAAAAAATAAATAAAAGAAAAATAAGTAAATATGAGTAGTCCGGAAAATCGTTCCCCTGCGGCTTTATAGCGAAACATCTTTCGACAATACCCCTTTATTGCAACGTCCCACCGGCGGCTGAACTTTATATCAAAAAATTCTTCGCGTCTCCGTATAAAAGTTTAATTTTATCGCGGAGTTTAAAGCCTCCCCTTTCTCGACCACACCACCATTCTCTACTTACCCGGGAAGAAAACTGTCTCCTGTCGCTTGGTGTAGTTGGCCTCAGGTATCCTGAGCTCACAAGAGAACACCTCCGGGTCCTGGAGGGACGGCAGAATAGCTATCGCTGTTACATCGTACAACTCGCCCTTTTTCCTCACGTTCACCTCCGCTTTTATACTTTCCCTATAAAATTAATAAATCAAAATTTACCATAAAAAAATTAAATGAAAATTTCGCTTAATTAAAACCCTTCGGAGTAAAACGAGATAAGTTTCACACTTTGTTTAGCATACGGGCCGAATTGCAACTTGTTTGAGTCGCAAGAATGTTCATCCCCGCCCCGATTTCAACCCAACCCAACCCTCAAAACTCTGATATTTCCCGAAGAGTTTTGCGACAAACAGAAAATTCAAGAACTTTGCTAAATGCTTAATTGTATAAAGAGAGAAAGTTTAAAACGGAAGTTGTATTAATTCTGTGCCGTCGCGTTTAGTCTCGAAAACATTTTAGAGATCGAATGGACGAGATTTGCACGATAAATTGAAGGGCGGAAATTATTCATTCATTCCCATTCAGTGGTGGCCGTCCGATCGAATATGATTTATGTTTTTCAATATAGCCCGTTGACGTTAAATAATAAATAAACGCCGTTGCGGGAAATCGACGAACTTTAATGTTTTGGATTAAAATCGAACTAAAAAAATCTTTATAATAAACACTTTTATTATTGGGTCTCGCTTGTAAAGGGTGGAAAGTTATCGACACCGGACAGCTGTTGTCCCCGGTTCTTATCTCTTTACACATAGTCGAGCCAGTTCCAACCCCCTTTTGAAATTGGAACGTTGTTTTCCAAAGAGATTGATTTTTTGTTTAGCGCCGTTCTACCCTCAGGGAGAAATTGAAAATTTTATTCTATTTCGTCGAACCTTCGCCCCGGTTGTTTCTCACCATCCACGAAGACGATATTTGTCTGCGGACTTACCCTTAAGGGATTCTGGATGATACGCCAAGTGACAGACTGTGATGAGGGTCGTGAAGTTTTTGGGAACATTTACGAATTTCGAGTTAAAAAGAGAAATTTATTTCTATGTTTCAAAATGTTTTTGATGTAATTTTCTAAAATCTACAGACGGTTTGCTTTGGTAAATCCCCGGAACGGGATTGTTTACGGACCGGATTCGAAGGTGCAACAAAAAGTTGAAATTCTATTACACCTGTGTACGTAATACAAAACCATAAATCCGTGTAGTCTGGAGGACTAAAGTTTATCCTGCGCAATCAAAACTTAGGTGTAGTTGTCCCCGCGAACCTAATAATGAACGTGTACACGCTCAGGTTTTAATTAATTTCCTGGGAAGTATCAATAACGGCTGTGAGCTTGATTTAACGCCCCTCGACACCGACCGAGTTGAGCAGTTGATTATTTAAGGGTTGTCCTAGAGGACACAATACACGCCCTTGCTAACTGTATTGAGTACATGTAAAACGTTAAGAGAAAAACATTATTATATAATTTAAAGATAGGACTTCTTTTAATACAAAACAATTCTGTTGGGAAAAATTTGTTTCTCTTCGCCATATACCAATTTTATCACATATCATATAAAACTTGTTACCTACTATCCGTACCAAAATCTCAATGAAAAAAAATGTGGTAAAGTTTGTTGTAATCATTGGATAAGAATTAAGAATTATAAATTAAAAAGAAACAGAATAAAGCCATACGGAGAGAGAGGGGAGTGCTCCAATCGGATAAAATGGTGTGTGTTCTAGACTGGACGTCGCGTCTTAATTGCTTTATATAAGCAAAAAAAAAAGCGGATAAGATAGTTAGACTTATATTTTAGAATAACATTCTAGATTTAAGCAGTTTTATATAAAATCTATACAGGGTAATTCAAATTCGACCCCCACTATTATAACTTCTTTATTGTTCGTTTTTTCGTGAATCTAAAAAAACATTCTTCAGGTCATGACACAACTAGAAATTTTCTCCGACGTGTCGTTTTCGTGAAACTATCAGGTTTATTTTTTCTTATAAACGCCATATTTGATTTTCACACCAAAAAATAGGATAATTAATTCTGCTTTCAATGATATGTCACAATGTATTTCATTTAAAAAAACATTGATTATTCAAAGAAAAAAACCTGGTGATAGTTTCACCAAAACGAAACATCGGAGAAAATTTCTAGTTGAGTTATGACATTTTTCATAAAAAGTTGCCTTAAAAAAACGAAAAAGTCATTTTTTTGTTTTTCGGCCATATTTTAAAAACTAAAACGGCTAGATCCAAAAACTTTGTCCCCGTTTAACCATTTCTGTATCTCTTTTGGTTTCTGAGATACCAATGGTGGGGGTCGAATTTGAATTACCTGTATATATATATAGTGTATAAAGTGTGAAGGAAGGTTCTAGATAATAAAATTTTTGATCTCTCTTATTTGTTTCCTAAGGTAACTTGATCCGATTAAGATATACGAATTTTTAACATTTTCTTTTATAATTCGAGAATGGATGGAGATATCGAGATGCGGTTTTCACTAATATTTAGCAAATTTTATGGTGATTAATGGTCTGTGAAGTAAATAGTACCGTTCCATTTAACTTTTTTTCAAAAATCACAAAAATATGTAATCGCTGCTGATAACGCCCTCCAGCTTATTTGTTTTAAACCAAGCGGTCTTACTGAAAATATCTTTTAAAAGAGCATGAAATGCTCTTTCAAACAAGACTAAAAATATTCAAATCGGTTGAATGGTCCAGGAGATATTAAAATGTAAACAAACAAAACAAAAGCGATGCGGTATTATCGTCTCATCGTCTAAGTTTCTGAGATAGCGGCAATTTTATGTTTCTCAATGGCAGTTACGCCCCCTAGCGGTCGAATTACGAACTTCAAAATAATTTCCAGCTATTTCTCTTGGTCACTTTGCTTATAAAGATTTTTTTCCCAAACCTCTAGGCCTTACCGTTGTCGAGATACAGCCGCTCCGTACGCTTAACGGGACACCCTGTTATATACAGCGTGTCCCGTATCTTCCGCATCAGAGCATTATACGGTTGTAGAATACATTATTCTGAAGCGATCTTTCTAATAAAATTTTTTCGAAATGTTTATAATAACCGCACGGGAACTGTTTAACGACGACCAATAACGGACAACTTTGATTCATCGAAAAAGTTTATTTCTCTTTCCATGACGAATCTATTGGTGAGTACACGTGGAAACGAGTTATCGTCGGCGTAGCGGACCGGCCGAGGGTGGCACCGATTACCTGAGTCTGATTTGCGATCTGCTGATTGGACGAAAAACAGTTCCTTTAAACAGTTCCCGTGCGGTTATTATAAACATTTCGAAAAAATTTTATTAGAAAGATCGCTTCAGAATAATCTATCCTACAACTGTATAATGCTCTGATGCGGAAGATACGGGACACGCTGTATACATTGTGTTAATTAGTTATCGCAGCGGTTCTCAAACTTATATCCTTGCGTGGTACGCTATTCTAAAAATCAGGTAATACCACTGAACAAAAAAAAACAATAATGATAATGCAAATATAAACTGTTTTGCGTACCACTTGAGAACTTCTCGCGTACCATCAGTGGTACGAGTAACATAGTTTGAGAACCACTGAATTATCGTATCCGACGTCATCATTGCAAGTATGCAACCAACTATGCAAGTCGCGTATTGCAATGATGACGTCGGGTACGATTAATTAATTAACACACTGTATATACAGGGTGTGTCAAATGTCTGGAATATAGCCTTTAACTTCGCCATTTGTGGTTTTAAAGAAAAATATTGCAAATACAAGTTTCTTTATTAATCATGGAGCATTTTTTGGCGATATTTGTTTGTTTGTATTGTTTTTTGTTTCGTTGCTATGGCAGCCAACATTGTTATTTTAAATAGGATGCATGCGATGAACATATCGAATCATATGGTTGTCTAAGAAAAAAATCAAGAAATAATGTCTAATTAAATCAGCTAATTACAATCAAACTAGGCGCTGAAATAACGCCGTTGACAGTTTTAAATGTAAAAAAATAGAGGACTTATCCTCTATCAAAGTATGCAAAAAAATATATGCGCCACAATTAATAAAGAATTTTTTATTTGAAACATTTCTTTTTAAAACCACAAATGGCGAAGTTATTGGCTATGCCAGACATTTGACACACCCTATATATACAGGGTGTATCTAAATTGATTTTAAGGAGTGATTTTTCAACGAAAATCGAGGGGGTCTCTGTCATATAACTTTTTGGTCAAAACTCACTTCTCCTCCAAGTTACAGCCCCCTAAAATTAGGGAAAAAAATGTTTTTCTTTAATAAATCCACTGTGGAGGAATTTGGAAGGATGAAATTTGGCAGATAACTATTACTAATAAGGTGACATTTTTTGACGATTTATAACCCTAATATGTTTTTGCAAGGAGGTGAAAAAATCAACCCCATAATACTTTGCATTAGAACTTTTTAATACGTCTACATTTTTCTATTTAAAAACTTAATTTAAATCAAATTCAATACGCAACTTTTTTGTCTCTTGACATTTTCTCCTAATATTGTTAGTTTGATCACAAAAAATAAAATAATACACAGGCTTAGGTGAATTAATTCAGAAATTGGTTATTATTAGTCAAAGAAATGAAGTTATATCAAATTGATCTCAGCATTATTTTATTTTTGTGATCAAACTAACAATTTGTTAGTTGTAAAATGTCAAGAAATAGGAAAATTGCAGATTTTTACCCTTAACTTTAGAGGGCTATAAGGTGGAGAAGAAGGGGTAAAATTAATTTAATTAATTTTCTTTGAAAAATCACCCCTTAAAATTTTTTGCATCAATTTAGATATACCCTGTATATTAGATTATATCGTATCAATTTGAAGTTAGTCACAATTTTATATTTTTGAGATATTAATTTTAATTGAAACGTAAATTTGTTTAGTTAAATTTATTAGTGTATTTTTCATTCTAAATTTATTTGAACTGAATTAAGCGAATTAACAATAAATTACGGTCGGAGCCAATTTCGTATGGCGCTCACCTTGATTCCATGGGGTTGGGTCGTAATGGTCGGGCAATCAAAGAGTTAATGCTGACCATTTTACAAAAGGGGGTGAACAAAGGGCCGCCGTTTGCCGGGGGGGGGGGACCTCCGGTTTTCTCCCCGGCGCGCAACAATTAACAACTCCTACGTGTTCTGTTTGCCCCATTCGCCCCATAAATTTACCAGTCGTATAAACATTGGGGCGGAGATCTTATCGGACGCGAAATAGTATCACTTCACCGCGCCCCCGCCTCGCGCTCATTCCCTTCAGGGCTAAATATCGCGCCCCCCTTATTTTCAAAACATGTTAATTGCGAGAGGTTGGACGGCGACGGCGATAAAGTAGCTGAGGTTTTGCTGAAATTACCATGAATTGCCTTTGGAAATGTGAAAACGAATAATGTGTATACAGAGCGGTCGCGGCAATTAGCAGAAGAATAATTTATTGGAGTTATGATCGGAATTTGCGAATTTCGAAAAGTTAATTGGAAACTATTCACTTCGGAATTTAATCATTATGGTAAAGCAGTTGTAGAATGTTGTAATTATTAGTGTATTTATTGTCGGGAATAACGTGTGTAGTGTAACAGTGATATTCTCGGAGAGAAGTTGCGAGATCATCTATGCAAAGAGAAATTCCATCCTCGACATTCCCCAAAAGCATCGTGTCGCCTCGCGAAACAATCTTCTCACTTACCTTTCTTGCGATCTGAGAACGATGGAGGGTTTCGGGAATACTCCTTCAGCTTTACAGGTTACCTCCATATAACCCTCGTTGATCAATTTCCTTCTAAGCATCAAATTCTTTTCTGTCACTAAAAACGAAAGATCAAATTAAAAAGATTTATCTTGAGGGTTTGATTGTTAACAAAGTTTATTTTATTGGAAAATCCGCTTTGTTAGGACGACGTAAGTTTACAAGAACACGGTGAGGATGGGATTTAATTCCGTTTTCGTTACAAACGTTTCATGCGCAACCGGGAGCGTAAAATTTTTATGTACTGGCTTACAACTTGGGGGGATTGCTTTCGAAACGCGACGGTGCATGATTTACATTCTCACCTTGGTGTCCTGTGTAATTTGATTACACTCGACCATAGTAAATTTTATACGAAATATATCTCTCCGTAAATCGTTATTTGTTCCGGAAGAGAAATTGTTTCTTTATTTTCGTTTTATTTTAAGAATTCTTAAATGAATTTCTCAGTACGCCACGTAGACATAGAGTGGAAAGATGGAAGTCGTGCGAACGAAAAACGGGTAAAATAATGTGTCCCGTTAGCGTTCGTTATAAATTGAGTTTTATCGAAAGCGGCTGCCGATGCCGTCGGTATCTGTCCGTTTTACTCCGCCGATATTGACGGGATTCGTTAAAATTGCCGTCACATATTTCGTTATTAGAACTTGCCTCTGAAAATGCAATGGAAGTGGTTCGTATCCACTTCCATTGCATTTCCAGCCTTGTTTACCTCTTTTTGATCAATATTAAAATACTGAATTTAAAAAACTCTACAATTTTTAAAAGTTTTATTTTATGATTGGCTTTAATCCCTGATTTCCAATGAACCGTGGCCGCTATATACTTTTATTGAACTAAAAGTAGAACTAATACTACACCCAGAACTAGAATCATTCGGATTTAGCCGTTTTTAGAGACGCACGGCTAAACCCGAATGTTTCTAGTTCTTGGTCTAATGTTAGTTCTAGTGTCAGTGCAAGTGTAAAACAAGAACTAACACTATACCTTGAGGTTGCGCGCGCAATCCGCCGCCACTTACGTCACGAAACATTGCCCCTCGCCCAGAAACTAAAATCAAAGTATTGCAGCATACAAACCTAAACACAACCCAACCCACTATACAACCATATCTTTATTATATTGACTTGATTTCATGTAAAAATGATGTGCACACATTGGCTTCGACATTGATGTGTAATGAACCGAGGCTATTTTATCCAGTCAGCCACAATACTGTGTACTAAAGGTATAAAGATACACTGTTGGAAATAATTCACGAGCACACCCTGTATAATCTGAACGCGTGTGTCTAGCGCGATAAAATTTGGTATGGAAGTAGTAGTAAAGTAGCATAACTTACTCTCACATGGAGAACGGCACAACTCTGCTGGGAGGAGAAACATCAATAGCGAAAGTATCCCCCGTGAGCTTCGCGTACCATCGCTACACGACGTGGCATGGAGTCTATAAGTCGCTATATTGTAGCGAGAGGGATGGCCAACCATGCCACCTCAACTCGCCTCCATAGCTCCTCAACGTTAGCCGAGGAAGCCGAATAACGTAGAAGTCTCCGACCAGTCATGTCCCAAACATGTTTGATCGGATTCAGATGCGGAAACCGAGCTAGCCATGGAAGTATTCGCATACGGTGCTCTTCCACAAAGGTCTGTACAACACGCCCGATGTGCTGTCGTACGTTGTCGCGCATGTATAGCAGACATGGGAGCCGCCGAACATAGGGAAGCACAACGGACCGTAGCACCTCATCTACGTATCATTGACCCGTCATGGTCTGCTATACACGCGGCAGACGTGTACGTCCACCATATGTAATCGCACCCCATACCATAGTGCTCGGTTGTCGGTGGATAGGGCGTTCTTGCACACAATGCTCGAGTAGACGATCATCACGGCTCCGACGAACTAAAATTCGCGCATCACCAGTGCTCAATTCGAATCTTGATTAATCAGAAAACAAAATGTCCCTCTACTCGGCAACCTACTAATGCCTAGCGTCGACCCACTCGTGACGTATGCTGCGGTGCTCGGGTGTTACTGGAATCCGCTGTATCGCATGACGCGCGCGCTAGTCCACTATCTACCAAACGCCGCCGTACAGTTCGCGTAGTGAGTGCGCTTTCCCTTGCCAGTGGCCAAACAGCTCCAAGTTGCCTTGAGGAGGACGCACACGACGCTAAACCGCTGAGCACAAGAGTGCGATTCTCGTGTGCTGTGGTCGCGCAGGGCCGTCCCGGCCGCGGCTGTAGGTACCTATGTCCTACCTCAGACCATTCTCGCTATGCCCGTTGCACTGCCGATAACGGCCGCTCGAGACGACACGCAATTTCGCGGAACGATACACCCTCAATGTGCATACCCACAAACATTCCTCGCTCAAACTCGCTTAAGTAACGCGATCGCCCATCCATTGCGCACAGAGTACGATAACAATGTGGTCCCTCACACCACAGTAAAAACGACCGATATTTTCCATCCACTTCGGTCTCCATAGCGACGGAATGTTCCACTTGGAAGGGCGGCTCAGTCAAAAATGCCGCGACGGAACAACTCGAAACTCCCTGAATAAACTCGTCTACAGTAAACCTTTGTGCTCCGCAAATATTATGGATTTATCTTCACGCGTTCAGATTATATAGGGTGTGCTCGTGAATTATTTCCAACAGTGTATATTATAGTTAAATGTAACGCCTCAGTTGTAAGCAACCTCGGCTTAGATTCTAATACGGTAATAAATAATCATTGTATACTAAAGCTACGAAGATATACTGTTGCTAAATGTAGCGCCTCGGCCGCAAGCGACCTCGGCTTTAATCTCTAACACGATGTAGAGAAAACATAGCGTCCTTGGTACACAATCAATACTGTGTATTAAAGTTAAAAAGATATACAGGGCGTTCAGAAATTGGCGGATAATCTACACGTAGCGACATTCTTCGTTCGATTCTAAAGCGAAAATCTTAATTGTAAAATGTCGTACCATGGTTCATACGTCTTTATGAGGTTCTCAAAGTTCGGATAATATGTCCATAAATAATCACTAATATTCAATATCTGTTGATAAGTAAGGTATAATTTAGAATAGAGAGAATGTTGAAAACTAGTTTTTTTGTTAAACTTATTTTGTTTAGCATTAAAGCTCCTTTTTAACATTTTTTCATTATCATATCTTCATGAAAAACAAATTTGGCAAGATAGTAGAACAACATTCTAACATTAAGATTTTCGATTCAGACGTCTAGATTATCCGCCAATTTCTAAACACCCTGTATTATTGCTAAATGTAGTGCCTCGGCCGCAAGCGACCTCGACTTTAATTTCTAATACGGTGAATACAAATAAGGCGTCCTTGAGACGCGAATAATCATTGCGTATTAAAGCTATAAAGATGTATTACTGTTAAATGTAGCGCCTCGGCCGCAACCGACCTCGGCTTTAATCTCTAACCAGGTAAAAATGTAATACTGCAGCCTTGGTGTACAAAATGCTACAATATGGCAGTAAAGATATATTAGTGCAGAATGTAACGCTTCGTCCGTAAGCAACCTCGACTTTTATCTCTAACATGAAGATAGAACATCATTCTTTGTACAGAAGCAAAATATCTTATTGTCAAATTTAGCGCCTCGGCCGCAAGCGACCTCGGCTTTAATTTCTAATACAGTGAATATTTGTGTATTAAGCCTACAAAAATGTATTATTACTAAATGTAGCGCCTCGGCCGCAAGCGACCTCGGCTTTAATCTCTATCCCAGTAAATGTAATACCGCACCCTTAATATACAAAATGCTATAGTATGGCAGTAAAGATACATTAGTGCAGAATGTAGCGCCTCGGCCGCAAGCGACCTCGGCTTTAATCTCTATCCGGGTAAATGTAATGCCGTACGCTTGGTGTATATACAAAATACTACAGTATGGCAGTAAAGATATATTAGTGCAGAATGTAGCGTCTCGGCTTTAATCTCTATCCCGGTAAATGTAATGCGGCACCCTTGGTGTACAAAATGCTACAGTATGGCAATAAAGATATATTAATGCTAAATGTAGCGCCTCGGCCGCAAGCGACCTCCGCTATAATTTTTAACCTGATGATAATAAATCATCTAATTCATACAATACAAATAAGAATTGTATCCTACGTCGTGTATCCGTTTTATTTGAGTCCGGAAATGGAAAGGAAGTGGAAGGCTCTTTTTGATCAATATTAAAGTATGTAATTTAAAAAAATATCAACAAAAAATATAACTCATAACAGTTTTCTTTTATGTTTGGATGTTAAAATCGTAGAAATTTAGGAGGATCCGTGCACAAAATAGGTGATAAAAATTTAGTACAAGTGTAGTGCCTAGAGAGGAGGAAAATAAAGGTCTTTCCTTTGAAAACGTTTCATGGCGTTAGGCAACAGTTACAGAGAGAGGACTAACAGTACTACGTATGCGACGTTAATGTTCGGTTTCCGGAGGGAAAAGGCACCGAAACTCACTGGCGACGGCCAAGTTTCCTACAATAAAACGCAAGCGAGTGTTGATAATGCGCCCCCGAAGTTAAGTTTAATAATTAGCGCCGACATTATGCTAAGTTTCCGCCGAATACATAACGCCATGAATTACTTATTGTCTAATGGACGGTACGCAGAGCCGGACCGCGTGAAACTTTTAAAAGCTTTTCCAGAATTCCCGTGCGAGGCTATACACAAAAACGACTTTTACTTCTTCTTCTTATTCTCTTTTCCACTAAACTCTTTCTATTCCGCGTTTTGCCACTAAATAGACTCTTCGCCTGATATAGTTCTTCCTAGCAAACGCTTTAAACTGATGTTATTACCGAAGTTTAGAGGAATGGCTTCGAAATAGTTATACTATGTGGTTGTAAAACGTCTTTTTCAAGATTTAACATGGAATAAAATTGGAATTGTTTTTTTTATAATTTAATAATTCAACAAATTAAATGCGTTTAAGAGATCTTGTACGTTTCCGTTATTTACGAGCATTTTAGGTATGTAAAAAGCGACCTCTCTAGTAAAAAGCTCTGCCAGCTGGCCACAGTTTAACAGATC